TTTACCTATTACGCATGTTCTTATATGAATTCAGGAAAGGTCTATTTTGACATTTTTTAGCATTGTCAAAAAACTTGTCATTGCTAATCACTACAGTAAACAGCAATAATACATCACTGATATCACTAATATGATTTTATGTTTACAGGGATTTTCATAATTTGACTATGATATCAAGCTAGTATGACATAATGTAATTAATTTTGAAATTTGAATGTTTAATAGGTGCTTGAATTTTATAATGTATAAATAGTCTGGAAAGTTAGGCCAGGGTGGTRAAGGGGAGGGAGGTACGAATCATGTTTCCTGGAAAATATATTGGTCAAATCACATGTCACAAAACAAATTTATGGAAATAGCCATTTCATGATTCACAAAAACATAAAACTGGTGGCCGAATCACATTTCAGGAAATCACCCTTTCACGACGAAGAAGGTTTTGGTGGACGTCAATCACAAGGCATTTCCATAGCATTGTCGGTAAAAAACTATAAGGGCACGTGCCTATAGAATGTCATGAAAACACTTTGATTGACGTCCACCAAAATCTACTTCATCACGAGAAAAATAATTGCTAGAGGGCGATTAGAATGGCTGTAAACCCTGTTAGTTTAGTTTAGTTCATTAATATTTTGTCAATAGAAAATAACGGAGACTTTAACACAGGGCAACGCCCCAATTGCTGTTCAGCCCCTTAGCAACTTCAGTGGTCTAGTGAAGATGGAAAACCACCCCTAAGAAAAATGATAAAAGATGAAAGGCGTACTTGTATTTATGAGTAGAAAGAATGGTGCATTGCCCCCAATGGCAGAGACCCCTCATTGTACAAAGGGTGGATAGCGCTATCTGACGGATAAATCTTCATTCAGTGGATAAGTCAATGCTGTTATCCAATGTATTTATCCACTGGACAAGATTTATCATGGCCCGGCTGTATGAAGGGTGACTAGAGCTATCCAGTGGATAAATTCTTATCCAGTAGATAAGTCGATGCTGTTATCCAATAAATTTATCCACTGAATAAGATTTATTCATTGGATAGTGCTATTCTCGCTTTGTACAACCAGGCCCTGACAGATAGTGCTATCCACACTTCCTACAATCGGGCCCTACTGGACATGATATCTCAAACATGATGCTGGAATTAAAATGTGTGGATTTAATCAAGATATAGTGTCAATATATACAATTAATGGATTGTGTCAATCCACTGATCTTTCAACTGGTGTATCATCATTGATTGAGTCATCTGGATCTGTAGCTGAAAAAAATTAAGAGCAAAATTTCATTCATAGTCCAAATTAATGGTTTCCAAGCATTCCCAAGAGAGTCAAGAGACAAATACAATTGGCTGCCATTTTGGTGGCATAACAAAGGGAGTTAATATGAAATCCTTTGCTAAATACCACAAATATGGCAGTGCTGATGATGTAAGCAAATAATAACAGCATTTTGTTGGATCGCTCAGAAATAATCTGTAAGACAGTACTTGAATGTTTTGCACTAAATAGTATAAAATAGTGCAAAGTCTATAATTGTTTTTGATTGTTTCATCACTTCTATTTAGTACTAAACAGTGTGTGTGTACTACTATTAATATAATATTTTAATTTGTATTTAATATTTTTATATTCTTAAACGCGCATTACATGACATCTCAATGCTCTTACAATATATGTGTAAAATATCGAATTATAACATGCTGAGAGCCTGACATCACCCCAACTTGCAAAATAAATACTGTTTTATGTATTACTTAAAAGCCATTGTCCGGGGGAAGTACTCCCATATATGGACTATATGGGGATGATCCGCTGAACAGGGTATGGTTTTTCGAGCTTCTTGTCATAAACAGGGTGTGCAATTTCACTCGAATTCCAAGTTCTTCCTGAGTTTCCTGTCATATTCAGGGTTCTACTTTCGTATTGACTGAAACTGGTTATATTATTATGGTCATCAAAAAAACGATACGCGAGATGACATGATAATTGAAACAGGAACTCAGTTTAATTATTTATATCTTCTGTCATAAACAGGGTCTACAATTTTGAGTTTTTTTGTCATAAACAGGGTACCCCTTTCAGAATCCCAGCAGATCACCCATACACAAATCTGGCAGAGTACCCCCCCCCCCCCCAGGCCATTGTCCTTTATATTAAAGAAAATTACTGAAAATTGTTTGAAAATTTGAAAAATTAATTGAGTAAAATTTGGAGCTGTAGCCCATCCCCTCCCCTCAAATTTACAACAGTAACTTTCTCAGATTTGCAAATTGTAAAAAAAATATATTTACCTTTCCCAGTACTTGTGATTCAGATATTTGAAGTCATCCAGTTTTGAAATGTCTTTTAAGTATTTTTTCAGTTTTAAAAGCTCCTTGTCTTTGTCTCTGTTAAAATGTGCTTCACGAAAAGGTCGAATCTGGAAAAAAAATCATAGAACATCTTTACTTCAATTTAAGAGGAGGGGGTGGGGTGTGACAGTGAGTAAAGTGCTATGGACTATTTTGATGATGCAGCAGCCATCTAAACAAAGCAAAGATGATGGAAAATATATAGACTGCGAGCTAAGTCCCTCTATTTCCCTTGGTCACTGTCCGTCTGTCTGTCCGTGTCGATTGGTCGAGGAAGATTGGTTACGAGTCAAAAGTCCCTGGGGGAGGGGGCTGGGGAGAGAGGGACGAAAGAAAAATATTCTATATTCTATTTTTCTTTCGTCCCTCCCTCCCCAGCCCCCTCCCCCAGGGACTTTTGACTTGTAACCAATCTTCCTCAACCAATCGACATGGACAGACAGACGGACAGTGACTAAGGGAAATAGAGGGACTTAGCTCGCAGTCTAGAAAATATATAGAGTTTCATGTTTTGTCTTTCTTTTATGAGTAAAGGTGATTGATGTGCCGCTGTCTCAATTCATCCAATCATCGTCATTACTGAAGAAAAGCTTTATTTTCCACCTGGATGCCCCATTATGTCTTGCTATCAAAAATGACCGATGTATCATCAAAGTAGTCAGGGTACCCCTAGCGACCAGTGTGCATTCAACTCTTAATAGCACAAGACCTTATAATTGAATGACATAACAAGACGTAACGACAGATTCTTGACAAGCGATGTCAACAATAAATGGAAAACTAGTCAAGAAGTGGTTTTTCGTTTATTTCTCGCTATTAAGAAATGCTATTGGAGCTTATTGTGTATTCTCTCACAAAATGTAATAACTTAAAAATCAATCTTCATAGCAATTTTGGGGTACCCTGATACTTTAAGGAAAGGATTTTTCCTAAATGTGTCACATCTTATGCAGGTTTTACCTTCAATCCACATTGAGGATTCATTAGGAAATTTCTTCTTAAGTCATCAAACATGATTGTGTTTTTGTTAGAAAAGCACTTGTACTTGCCCCAGATAACTCCCAATGGCTTTGTCTAAAAAAGTATTAATTTATATTTCAACATCATTTCATTACTCACTTCTTAATCTTTGGAGGGGGGGGGGGGGTCGGGGTCTTTGATTCTGAAGGACTCACAATATTCACAATTTGCAAGGGAGTTGAGTTTGACTCTGGGATTTGATTGAAACACCTTGATTTGGTGTTTTCTTCAAGTTCTTTGGTTTTCCTGATCCCTCCACAAAACACCAAAATTCCAATTAGATGTGTGAGTTAGCCATGCCCTGACTTAGATCAGCCCAGAGGTTGTTTCAGTTTTGATTTGTAAATTAGCCATGCCCTGACTTAGATCAGCCCAGAGGTTGTTTCAGGGTTCAATCTGTGAGTTAGCCATGCCCTGACTT